CGGGAAGGGGAGAGAGGGAGAGAGGGAGAGGGAGAGGGAGAGAGGGGAGGAAGAAGGAGTGGTGTGTTGAGATGTTGGAGTGCTGGGAGTGTGTTGGGTGTGTTGGCGTGTTGGGTGTGGGGTGTGGGGTGTTGTTGCCAGTGGTGGGGTGGGGTGGTCGAAGGGGTGAGGCATGGAGGGGGAGCAGGGGAGAAGGCCGATGGGTAGGGGGATAGGGATAGGGATGATGACGGACAGTACATGGGTAGTGGGTAACATGGATTAGAGATGGTAATGAGATTTAAACTCATGAGCCATCTCCATCCACATCAACTAACCCCAGGTATCGCCCCAATCCCCCCAATCCCCCCCGTCATCCCCTCTCTGCCACATTCCCCCACCGAATGGAAGCCACACTCCCACCACCCCCCACCACCCACAGCCACCACCCCCACCCCTCTTGTCACACTTGCCCAACACACACACACCACACACGCACACACACATACACACACACACACACACACACACACACACACACACATACACACATACACACACACACACACACACACACGCACCACAAACACTATATACATACATACATACATACATACATACATACATACAAGCCTCGTCACAGGTACAGGGCGACATGTCGGACCACCCCCGACTGGTGTGCGAGGTGGAGGAGGGCCCGCCCGAGGCTCGGAGGAAGCGGGTGGTGACGGTGGAGGCAGGCTTTATGCTCTTTGGTCGCGACAGGGCACGACTCAAGTCACGGGCGGCAAAGGAGCCTGTCCGTCCTGGCTTTGAGGCCCTTGCTGGAGGTGGATCGAGTTCGGATGTGGCTGGCGGTGGACGTGTTGGAGGAGGCGGTGGTGCATCTAGTGGCGCTCCGCCCACCATCGACGTCCTCGACTCGCAGACCGTCTCCTCGGTTCATTTTAAGATCTGGTACGAGCCGTCGTTGCGGCAGTTCTTTGTCTGCGATTGCGGCTCGCGGAACGGGACCAATCTGGCGCCGCCGGCGGGGCAAGAGGCCATGCGGGACTATCGGTTTCTTGGATCGAACAAGACGGCGTCGGAGCAGGCGCCGCTGGCCATCATGTCGGCCATCCGCGCCGCCAACGTCGTCATTCTGGTCACCAACATTGTGGGGACAGAGCCGCCGACCCGCCACGATCTCTCAGATACTTTCAACTACACCGGCGGAGGAACGATGACCGAGGACGTGTCCAAGCAGGACATGGTGATCCAGGTCCTGCACGGGCCAGGCGAGGGTCAGCATCATGTCATCCAGTACCATGAGAGCTGCATCGTCGGCCGCGCCACGCCAGGCACTCAGCCACCGGCGCCGCCGTCAGATCGCCACAAGCGCATCACCATCTACACCGCCTCCAAGTACCTCTCGCGCGAGCACGCGCTCATCCAGCACTCGTCTGAGCTCGGCTCGCTGCGGCCGGTAGTGGTCAAGGCCACGTCCAAGAACGGCCTTTCGGTCTGCTCGCAGCCGAACCTCTCGGCACTGCAGTCGTTCGAGTCGCTGCCGTGGCAGCCTGTCGCCCGCAAGTCTATGGCGCGCCTCTCGTTTGGCGACCTTGTCCGCTGTGGCAAAGACACTATTCTGCTCATCACCGACCACGCCGGACCGCCGCAGCGGATGGCGCCTCCTGTCTCGCAGGGCTGCTCATCGACGTCGATCACGCTCTCGTGGGACGCCGCCATCTCGCCCACCGCCGTCAAGGGCTACATCCTCGCCATGGCACCCGGGCCGCGAGTGACCGACGAGCCGCCAGCCCAGTTTGCGCGGCTGCTCAACAGGCAAGCCACGTCGCCCGACGACGACGCCTCGCTCGAGTCGGCTTTTGAGCAGGCCTCCAAGCTTGCGCTCTCGTTTGCCAACTCGTACGGCGGCGGCCAGCTTCACACCACCGTCGCCCCACTCGACCCGAATCGGATCTACTTTTTCCGCCTCCAGGCCCGCAACGCCGGCGGCGAGTCCTCGTGGTCAGCCGTCGTCGCCTACGCCACCGCCGCCGACGACTCACTCCATACCTCGCCGCCGCTCCCGGCCTACCTCTCACGCGCGCTCGATATTCACAACCGCGCATCGGGCGTCCCGCTTCATGCCGCCGACGTCGGCGAAGACACCGACGACGACGAGCCTGAGCCTGTGGCACCCGAGCCGTCGGACGCTGTCGTCCAGAGAGTCTCAGGGACGATTCGCTGGAAGAAGGGCAAACTCGTCGGGCTCGGCGCTCAGGGCAAGGTCTACGTCGGACAAGATCTCGACAACCACACGGTCATGGCGGTTAAGGAGCTCGTGTGCATGGACGACAAGGTCCATGAGTCGCGCCTGGCCGAGATCGAGCGCGAGATCGACATGCTCCGCACGCTCGACCACCCCAACATCGTCAAGTACATCGGCGTCAACAAGGTTGTGGCCGATGGCTCCATCACCCTCCATCTGTTTCTCGAGTACGTGGCCGGCGGCTCGCTCCAGTCGTTCATCAAAAAGATGGACAAGAACGGGCTCGACGAAGCTGCCGCTCAGCTGTACACCAAGCAGATCCTCAACGGCCTCGCCTACCTCCATGCCAAGGACATTGTCCATCGAGACATCAAATCGGCCAACATCCTGCTCGCCATCTTTGGCTCGCACCAGGTCTGCAAAATTGCCGACTTTGGCGCCTCAAAGTCGCTCTCACACCTGGCCGAGTTTGCGTCGGTTGTTGGCACGCCCAACTTTATGGCGCCCGAGGTCATCCGCCAGCGCGGTGGCTCGCACAAGTCCGACATCTGGTCTGTCGGCTGCACCGTCATCGAGATGCTCACCGGCTCGCCGCCATGGTCCGAGTTTGAGCCGCAAGCCGCCATGTTCCACATCGGCACCACAAAGACCGGGCCCAAGCTCCCAGACAACATCTCGCCGGCATGCGTCGCGTTCTTTGCCCGCTGCTTTGCCTTTGAGCCCGAGGACCGCGCCTCGGCCGCCGAACTGGAGCAGCACGTGTGGATCGCGCCGCCACGGACGGCCCAGACTCCGGATGCTGCTTCCGCCGCCGCAGCCGGCTCGTCGGCCCTCTCGCCCGACCGCAGGTACACCCCACTCATGGCCGACGCCGCCGCCGCCGCTGCTGCTGTTGTCTCGCCCACAGCTGCCGACGGCGCCGACGGCGCCACCGCTCCACTCGGGCCGGACACTGCGTCGTCGCCGTCAGCAGCGTCGGCAGGCACCGGGCCCGCTAATGGTGCCGGCGACACCGATACTGAGACCTCCACCTCGGGTCCGCTGGCCGGGCCGTCGGGCCGGGGCGGGCAGGCCACCGGTTCGCGCCGGCAGCGGCTGGTCATCGACACCGCGGCTGGGAGGGGGAGCCTCGCGCCGGCGCCCAGCTCGCCGTCGTTCAAGAACCGCAAGCATCGCATCTCGTGGAGCAACCTCATGTTCCACAACGAGCCCATCGGGAAGGGTGGGTTCGGAACGGTGACTCGCGCCGAGTACCTCGGCGTCGACGTGGCGGTCAAGTTCCTGACCAAGATCGAGAACATCGACCAGTTCATGTCCGAGGCCGCGCTCCTCGCCGAGCTCCGCCACCCGAACTGTGTACTGTACATGGGCGTGTGCGCCAAGGAGGACGAAGACCGCTATGGCATTGTCATGGAGTACCTCGACGGCGGCGACCTCCACGCTGCCATTCACTCGTCGCGCTCGCCGCCGCTCAACCTCTCCGCGCGAGTCAACATCCTTGCCGACGTCGCCTCAGGCCTTGTCTACCTGCACGCCATGGGTGTCGCCCATCGCGACATCAAGCTCCGCAACATCCTGCTCGATCGCTCGTGCGGCGCCAAGCTCGCTGACTTTGGCCTCTCGACCCCGCAGCAGCACAAGACTGGCGCCACCCTCCGGTACGCCGCGCCCGAGGTGCTCTCCGGCGAGCGCGTTGCCGATGCCGTCGCAGACGTCTACTCGTTCGGCCTCGTCATGTACGAGGTCCTCACCGGCACCAAGCCGTTTGCCTTTCTCTCTGAAGCACGCGATCGCTACCATGACCTCACCCTCCCGCCCGGTGAGCTCGACGCGTGGGAGGCTATCGACCCGCTGCCGGAGCTCATGCGTGCGTGCTGGTCTTTCAACCGTGCCCACCGTCCCTCGATGAAGGAGCTCTTTACTGCAATCAAGTCGGTTCGCGACTCGCTTTCTGCTGACGCGGTGGCATCGGGCCCGCGCGCCGGCTCGGCCCTCGCCCATCCCACCCACACGCCTGCAGCCACATCCGGCACCGCGCCCCCGCCCGCCCACCCATGCGCTCATGGCTCACCATGTTTGACGACGTCGCCGAGCCGCTCTCGGACGTCTCGTCCTCGACATCGCCCATCGCCCTCGCTCCCCGACCGCCCCTCGCGGCACCCAACGCTGACAACGCTGACAACAACGACGACGACGACGACGACGCCACGCGCTCAGTCATCATCACCTCGCCGCCGTCTACGGGACCATCAGCCGCACGGCCTTAGTTCAACAACAGCCGATGTGGTGGTGGATGGCGGTGGACGGTGGTGGAGGAAGTTATTAGCTGGGCTTCCGGGGAGCACCAAAACTTTGACGATTCTCTGCTACCCTCTCGTCTCGCCGCAAATTGACTAGAGTCGTTGGGTCACGTACGTAGAGCCAGATAGCGCTGTGCTGAGGAGAGAGTACAATGACACATGCCATTCCAATCCATATTCCGCCTTCCCTGCACCCAACCCCTGTCATCCTCCAGGCCTCCACTCTGGGGTCACTCCCTGCGCCCCAGCGCACCGTCCGGAAGGTGCTCAGTTGAGTCGAGTCGGACTGGCCTCGATTCGGCTCGCGGTCGGCTGTTCCTTTCTTGGCAGGTTTCGCGGCTACAGATGGCCGGTCTCCTAGCTGTGTTGGACAGATATGGGCAGGCAAAGCCGATATTCCCCCCGCGCATTGCTGCAACTACCCCCCTACCCGCTTTATGGGAGCAAGAGGCACCGGAATCGGCCATCCTTGCCTCAAACAGGGTCCCCTGCAGACCGGGCGGCCCATCCGGACATCAGCCGATTCGGATCAAATAGCTCGTGGCAGGGAAGCGGGTCACCCGGCCGGGGGGGGGGAGGGAAGAGGCTGGTTTTTAGGGAGGGGGGAATGATGTGTGTGGTGTTTTTTTTTCCCCGTCGCCTTCATCCTCTTCCGCCAACAGTCTCAAAGGAGAACACTATTCCCCACATACTCATGATAGCCATGTATATAGAGTATGGCTGCAGATCGCGTATTGCAGCCGAATCACAACAACGGAGGAATGGCGAATGTAGAGATGGTGAGCGCGCAAGCGTCGATGCCGCCGTCGCCGTCGGCGCTGGTGGATGCGACGCTGCTGTGGGGAGACGGACTGGACATGAGTGTTCCGACGTCGCCACTGGCAGGTGGGCTGGACGGGGGAGCGAGCGTGCTTGACGCGCTGGTAACACCGTCGCGGAAGCGGAAGCGGATGCCACTGACGGCGCCCGGCTCGGCGCCCGCGGCGCCGATGGTGCAAGACGTTGCGCCGAGCTCGTTTCTTGACGATCTCGGCGGCCTGTTTGGCTCGCTTGACGCGGTGCCGGAGCTTGCGCTAGCGTCGACCATGGCGCTGGCGTCGAGCGTGTATGACCAGCTCGATGGCGACCTGGGCCTGGGCCTCGGCGACGGGAGCAGCGGAGGCGGGATGGTGGAGCCGGGCGTGCTCGGCGGAGCTCCGTCGTCGCTCCTTGGTCTTGCGCCGCCGTCCGAGTCGCCGCTCCCGTCGATGCATCCATCACCGTCGGTCTCGCCGGCGGCACCAATTCCGCCGCCGTACACGGTTCTGCCGTCCGAGTCGTATCTGCCCCGGCCGCCGCGACTGGCGCTTGCGGCTGCGACGGCCGATTCAGACGACTACAGCGACGATGACAGCGATGATCGGGACTTTGAGTCGTATGACGACGAGTCTAGCTACGGCGACGAGTATGGGTCGTCGGCCCGGTCGCGCCATGGCGGCGGACGTCGTCTCGCAGGCAAGGGCAAGAGCAAGGGCAAGAGCAAGAGCAAGGCAGGCAAGTCCAAGTCACGGAGCAAGGCCAAGGCTCCCAAGTCCAAGCGGCGGCTGAGCGATCTGGGCGAGCTGACGGCGCCGATTGTGGGCTTGCCGGTGCGGCCGGCAGGGAGCGTGGTGGGGCAGGCCGCGCCTGCGGCGGACCCGAACAAGACATCTATTTATGGATACATCAACGGGGCGCTGGACGCGGCGCGCGAGGCGCCGGCGGCCAAAAAGGCCAAGACTACCAACGGCGTGGCGGTGCCAGCGAGCCGCGGGCGAACGGTCTTTTCTTCGGTCCTGCAGCACGCGCTGAGTGCTGTGGAGAGCAAGGTGGCGGCGACGGCGGCGGTGGTCTCGGTCGCGCTCCCGCCGGCCCCAATGGACACGGGCGGGAGATCGAGATGCTCGGGCACAGGCTGGTCGACGGGGTGGCCTTTGTGCGCATCCATTACATCGGACTCCCTTCGTCGTACGACGAGTGGGTCCCGTCATCTTCGCTCGTCCACCACTGAGCACAGAGTGATTAAAGATCGGCAACTACCTTGAGGAAGCGCTGGAGGGTGCGGAGCGTTGGCTGCGAGAGGGCGTCGAGCTCGAGGACAAACTCGGGCTTGGCCACGAGGTCGGCAAACTCGGGCTCAAGCTCGATGATGATGCCAAGCGCCATGCCAAGTTTGTCAGGCGTGAGATGGCGGAGCTTGTCGGCGAGGCGGCGGCGGGCCTTGAAGGTGAGCGGCTCGATGGCCTTGGGCGGGCGGCGACGGGCGCCGCCGGCGTCAGAGCCGACAAGCGGGGTAGAGCCGGCCGACCGCGCAGTCGGGTCCTGCGACGCCGACGCCGGAGACGGCATAAATGCGTGCGCCCGCGAAGCCGAGTGGCGGCCGGACGGCGTAGTCGGCGCAGACGCCGAGACCATAGGAAAGGCCTTCGACGTCGAGCCGGACGACGAGACGGAACCGGCCGAGTTGGGCCGCGACGCGAGCGCGTCTGAGCCTGCGCCCTCGAGCTGGTTGAACTGCAGGTACATCTCATCGTAGACCTTGAAAAGGATGGCAAGCTGTTGGTACTTGGCGGTGAGCTCGGTGTCGAGCTGCTCGTTGAGGGCGGCGTAGAGATCCTCAAAGACGGCAAGGAGGGCAACACCATCGGTGTAGATGGCCGAGTCTGGCGAGTTAAAGAGGGTGCAGTTGGAGAAGACCAGCCGGACGTCGGCGGCAAACTGGGCCGGGGTGGCGTACGCGCCGCGGTCGAGGCGCGCCTGAATGGTTCCGAGGTCCATGGGGCACCGCACAATGTCAAAGTACGTGGGAATGTCGAGCGCAATGGCATTGACCGGCTCGCGGAACGGCTCTGAGCGCGAGTCGGCGAGTAGCGTCTTGAGAACGCGGCGGCAGGCGCGCATGATGGGGTCGCGCCGTGAGGCAACTTTGCGCGTCGAGACCACCTCGAGCGCGCCCGCCGGCGTCTTGACCGACCGCGAGAGCACCCGTGTCGGCTTGCTCATCTCGCCGACGTGCGGCGCCTGGAGCGAGACCACCTTGCACGTCGCAAGGTTGCCAGCGGCCGACAGGCTCATCTGCGCTCGCACCGGCGCCTCCAGCCGCGACCGCAGTGGCGGCGGCGCAGAGGTGGCCGCCGGAAACGCGGCGCGGACAGAGCCTGAGACCGTCGCTTGCTCTGCTGCCATCGACTCGAGCAGCATGGCCAGCGGATCCGCACGCCGCTTGGCCTTGCCACGAGAGCCGCGTGAGCCCTTTTCGCTCGCCCCAGCCGTGCTCCGGCTCGCTGCGCCCGAGCTTGCTGTGCCAGACCCACCCCCGCTCCCGCCAGCCACCGACGCCTTGCGCACGAGCTTGGCCAGCGCCGCCGCCGCTGCTGCCGAAGTCGAGCCTGCCGGTGCCGGGTCGCCCAGCGTCTTTTGCCTCTTCCGCGCCGGCGCCTGTGGGCTCTCTGCCGCCGCAGTAGCAGTACCACCGCCACCGCCACCGCCACCACCACCACCACCACTGCCGCTGCCGCCGTTCTGTCCGCCGTTCTGTCCGCTGCTGGCAGTACCACTTCCTCTGCTGCCAACACCTGTTGTTGATCCCTGGCTCGCTCCTCCAGTCTCGCTCCCGACTCCAGTCTCTCGGTCATCCTGCCGCCGTGAAGGGGAAGGGAGGGGGGGGGTTAGTATGGAGGG